GGACGGTTATTCACGATGTCCTGAGGGACCAGATGGAGAAAGGGGGGGGGGGGGGGTCGCAAGTTGTGTAGCTCCCAGGGCTGAACAAAGGTCAATTAGAGAACTGAGGTCAACCGGTAAGGCCTGAGTGAGAACCACAGACCCAGCTCACCCAGCCGCTCCCCACCCTGGTGGCCATGACCGCCACCCCGCACCAGGAGACAGAGCCAAGATGCCGGACGCACAGCTGAAACTCCACATGACCTTCAGAGACCACACAGACTGAATCTACCCAAGGAGCCATAATGGAGGCAATGCAAATCACACTGAGATTCAAAACCAAACTTCCAAGTCTGAGCCGAATCCTCTGTGAACCAGCAGCTCGTGTGAGAAAGACCCAGCAGCCCCCAACTCCATGTGAAGTTGGAGACACTGTCACAGGGGCAGGTGGGGTATTAGCACGGACAGTGCACGGCCTGAGGGAGGGGAGACTCTGTCACGGGGCAGGTGGGGTATTAGCACGGACAGTGCACAGCCCTGAGGGAGGGGAGACACTGTCACAGGGCAGGTGGGGTATTAGCACGGACAGTGCACAACCCTGAGGGAAGGGAGACACTGTCACAGGGCAGGTGGGGTATTAGCACGGACAGTGCATGGCCTGAGGGAAGGGAGACACTGTCACAGGGCAGGTGGGGTATTAGCACGGACAGTGCACGGCCCTGAGGGAAGGGAGACACTGTCACAGGGCAGGTGGGGTATTAGCACGGACAGTGCACGGCCCTGAGGGAGGGGAGACACTGTCACAGGGCAGGTGGGGTATTAGCATGGACAGTGCATGGCCTGAGGGAGGGGAGACACCATCACAGGGCAGGTGGGGTATTAGCACGGACAGTGCATGGCCTGAGGGAGGGGAGACACTGTCACGGGGCAGGTGGGGTATTAGCACGGACAGTGCACGGCCCTGAGGGAGGGGAGACACTGTCACGGGGCAGGTGGGGTATTAGCACGGACAGTGCACGGCCCTGAGGGAGGGGAGACACTGTCACGGGGCAGGTGGGGTATTAGCACAGACAGTGCACGGCCCTGAGGGAGATGGAGAATGCAGAGGCCTGGGGAGGAGTGTGACTGTGTAGCTCAAGCCCCTGAGGAGGGCAGCCCATGACGAGGCTGGACAAGTGGACAGCATGGACACACACTTGGGGAAGGGCAGTGAAGAACCTCTTTCACACCATCCTCTCCGTGCTGGTTTCCTCCTCATGAAATGGGACCGAGAACCATAACAAATAACAATAATAACGCCTCCTGCCCAGGTTCGTCGCGAGGGTTAGTGAGCGGCTGTGGGCGTGCTCGGAGCGGAGCCTGGCACACTCCGCTCCGGAAGCGTGTGCTGTCGGCTCCGCTGTGGCTGACGGTCGCCCCGGATTGACAGTGAGCCCCGCCGGCTGTGAACTGTCTGTGCTAACCCTCTGTGCCCCCAGCACTCGCCCTCCCACACGGCGGTGCTGGCACAGGCTCACGGAGTCACAGTGACAAGGAGATTATCCCAGATACTTAGCGATGAGCCGTCATCCTGGCGGGGTTAATGGCCAGTGAGCTGAGGTCACTCAGAATAGACTGAGCGCTCTGGTGGGGATGTGTGGGCTGGCCGGTTGGGCCCCGTGCCCGGCAAGTGGTAGGGGTCCATCAGCGGGACACCCTAACACCCTCTCCTCCTTACCCAAGGGCCCTCGGCCAGGACAGTCACCTGGCAGGGGAGAGGCAGGATCACACACACACACACACACACACACACACACACACACACACTTTTCCAAGGGGACCCTTCCCGCCTGCTTCCCCCGGACAGCGGAAGGCCCTGCCAAGGCTTGATGCTAACAGTGCTCGACTTCCTGGGCTAAAATCACGTCTCGAGTCAATGTTCCTAAAATGTGGTGACAGATTTAGGCGCTGGGAAGATGGAGCTTTCTCCGGAGGCACTGAAATGACCCACACAGTTAGAATCAGCGGAAACGGGCAGCCAGGGGCTGCGAAAGAGCCTCATCCCTCTGCGGCCAGTGCTAGCAGAGCGGGGTCAGGCCCCGCCTGGGGGGACCCCGGGCCGGCTCTGGGCCCCGCTGGTCACGGACGCCCCTCCCGGCCGAGACTCCGCCAGCAGACGCTTGCAGGGCACCAGCGGTGGCCACTGCGTTCTGTTCACCCGCGAGGCAGCCTTCCTTCCCAGGCCGCTTCCACAGGGAGGGGCCCAGATGGTTTCTCACTTTCTCCATTCCTGAGGCTTTCCTCTGGGGTCACACAGGGAATCAATCCGCAAGAAGTAGGACCTGGACGTGTGTGAGTGCACCTTCTCTTTTCCCAAACAGCTTGAAGCCTGCGTGTGGGGGACTGCCCCAGCCCTAATGCCCCACCCCAATTGCCCCACCCCTAATGCCCCACAATGGCACATCCATGGAATTAGGCTTACTTGACCGGCAGCCATTGTGGGAAAGAATTCTCTTCCATGAAAAGCGCCCCCTGGCTGCCGGGGGGCTGAGAGACACCCTCATCAGCAGGATTAGGGAACCCTGGGCCAAGAAGCTCGCCTAAGGCAGCTGTGCTGCTTCACCCACTCACTACCCCAGCCCACATATTGTTCAGACTCCTCGGAAGGAGCGCCCAGACCTCAATGTCTTTGTCCGGTCCTGTCCCCACAAACGTATTGTTTCTGTGCCTGAGAAACGTAAAAAGATGGCTGGTCACCATTTCGGAGAGCACCATCTTTTACGGCCTGCCATGCACACATACCAAGTCGGTATTTCCCGTTATTCTGGTCTTGTGACAGTTTTATTGAGTCCAAGAACTCCAGAGGGGAGGGGGGGCCGGGCGGGGGGTGGGTTCTCCCCTCCCCATAGTACCCTCACCCCTGGAGGCTGGGCGCGCTGCTGCCTGCCTCTCGGACCTGGGGTCCGTCTGCTTGGCCTCTAGAGACCCTCCTGTCTGAACTCTGACCCCAGGTCCCACCTTTTCCTGTATCGCGCAGCCCACACCCTGAACGCCAGCCTCGCTCATCAGCTTCACGTCTGCTCAGGCGTCTCCACTTGCCCCTCCAGATCCACCCCTGCCCTCTCCACCGTGACCCGTGCCCGGAGGCTGGCCAGTGCAGACCGCACCAGCCTTCCCCACCCACAGGCCTGCCTGTGGGCCCACCAATGGGCGCAGGCAGCCAGCAGAGGTGGGAAGAGAGTGAGGCTCCCCGGGCTGACCTTGTCCCTCCACCAGGGGCTCCTGCCCCTGTCCTGAAGCCCCCTGACCCCTTAGGCTGCCACTGCTGCTCCTGATCCATCACCCCCACTGGCATCCCTAAAACCTGCCCCTGTTTATAACACCCATCCCCAGCTACCCGAACCTGGGCTGGTCTTTCACTCCAGCCACCCCCAAAGCGTTACTGCAGGGGGGGGGGGGGAGAGACTGTGCTGTGTCCTCCCCACCCCCCACACCCCCAGCTCCACTGAGACCCAGCTCCCGGGGGCACTCCCACTGCAGGGGGGTCTAGCGCCCTGGCTCAGCCCCGAGGCCCGTCCTGCCCCTCAGAGAATGGGGAGGGTGATCCCCGAAGCTCCCTCCACCCACATCTGCCCCTTCTCTACACCACGCGCCCCTGGGCCAGAGGGCTGTGTTCAATCAAATCCCATTTTACAAAACCCAGTGAGCTGTTAACACGCTGCAACTCTCCTCCGAACGCCCGCTCTCCTCCCTGGCGCCCTCACGCTTCCCGGCAGGGTTCTTCACGCCGGCAATGCCCTGCCCAGCTGCCAGCCCCCGGCCCACCGCTCTCCTGCCGCTCCCTCTCCCGCACCCGCACCCGCACCTGGGCTGCCGCCCAGCACCCCATCAACGCTTCCTGTTGCAAATATTGGCTGAAGCAGGGCTGTGCCCGGCAGGCTGCGGACGATGCTGCTCCATGATATTTACCGACAGTGACTCCGCCCCAGGCACACGACACCGTCTTGTTCCATCCGCACCTCAGGCCTGCGGGCAGGTGCTAGCCCCGTGTTACACATGTGCAAACTGAGGCACAGGCAGACTAAGCCCCTTGCCTGGGGCCCCACCCCCGGGAAGAGCTGGAGCCAGGATCACAGCGCAGGTGCAGCTGACACAGACCCTCTGCCCCCCACACCCACCCCGTCTCCCCCTGCAGTGCCCCGAGGGGAGACTGGCCAGGCTGGAGGAGAGTGCCCTTCGGAAGCCCCCCCTCCTTTCCTGTCCAATCAGCCGCTTTCTGCGAAGCCGGCCCCAAGGGTAATTAGTCCCTTTAAGCCGCTAACCGCTTCCCCGCGTCCGGTCCACGCTCTAATTGGCGCGTCTGGTCAGAGAGAGTGAGGAAGGAGGTGCAGCCCAGCCTGGCGGGCCTTTCCCAGACACTCTGCGGGTGAACGGCAGCCCTCCGGCCACTTGCTGCCGCCACGGCGGGGGGGGGGGGGGGGGGGGGGGGGGGGCCCACCCACGAGGACGATGAGAGACAAGGCCTGAGGTCCTGACGTTTGCTGGCTGTTGTCACCCTCACCATGTCTACACGAGGAACTCCCAGCTCTGGCAAGGACTGGAAGCCAGGCTGAGCAGAGGAGTCACTGGAGATGGTGGGCAGGGGTTCACTTAACCGACCGTTCACTCGTCAGGACCTGGGGCAGCTGCTGGGGGGCGGGGCGGGTAGAGGGGGAGATATGGTGCTGGAGGCCATGTCCATGGCTGTCAGGCACGGAGATCACCTATTCTGTCCCCTCAGACAGGGGCTCCCTGAGGACAGGGCCGTGTCCCCTCAGACGGGGGCTCCCTGAGGACAGGAACTTTCCAGTCCACTGGATTCTTCCTGCAGCAGCAGGGACGATTCCCCGTCTCCACACCTCACTCTCTCTCCCCTGGGCTCAGAGGCTGTGGTTATGAGCATGGGGGTGGGGAGGGGGTCTCCAGTCAGGTGACCACCATGAGGGGCCAGCAGACTCCCGCAGGGCCAGGCTGGTGTCTGGTGGGGAAGGGGCTGGACCTACCTCCCTCCACTGCTTGTTCTCCATCCCTTGAGTATACATGACGCACACTGTGGGGAGAGGAGGGAAAGGGTTAGCATGTCACACAGGCCTGTGCAGAGGGCCTGGGGGGCGGGTGGAGCCTCAGGAGAGTGGGCTTGGGTGGCAAGGTGGGGTCTGGGTAAGGTGACCAGATTTTAACATTGGTAAAGCGGGACACCATTGACCTGTGGGGGGGAGAGTTCTTGATTAAAAATGTGGTCTATATGGAGCCGTTCCCTAACTTGTTGTGCATTCTTTCCAAAAATTGGGACTTTTTTAAAATGCCACGGGACACGGGACAATTTGTTAAAGATCGGGACAGTCCCGCCAAAAGTGGGACATCTGGTCACCTTCGGTCTGGGGCCTCCTCAGTTTGGAGAATGGAACCTAAACAGTGGTCGGCAAACTCATTAGTCAACAGAGCCACATATCAACAGTACAACGATTGAAATTTCTTTTGAGAGCCAAATGTTTTTAAACTTAAACTTCTTCTAACACCACTTCTTCAACATAGACTTGCCCAGGCCGTGGTATTTTGTGGAAGAGCCACACTCAAGGGGCCAAAGAGCCGCATGTGGCTCGCGAGCCGCAGTTTGCCGACCATGGGCCTGGAAGGAGTGCCCCCTGGGAGAAGGTCAGGGCCGTTTGCATGTATGCCTGAGGCAGGCAAGCAGACGGGTGGGGTTGGGGGGGCGTGATGGGTGACTGGGTGGCGGGGTGGCAGGAAGGCACCTGAAACTCCCTCACCCTGGGGCTCACACAGCCTCAGGCCGTCACTGTCCCAGCCCCCCACCGATGGGCCACTGAGGCTGGGAGAAGGCCCGCGGCCTGCGTGAGCTCACATACTTTAGTGTCATTTCTCTGGCTAGAACCCTGGACTCCAAAGTCAGGGCTCCACCCCCTGGACCACAGCCAGCCGGGGCTGAAATGTACGGGTCTCCCTGTTCTGAAAACTCGGGGCCTGAGACGCTGACCCGCCCCGACCCGCTCATTGTGTGGAGGCTTCACACGCGTTGGGGTTGGCGGGCCAGCGCCAGTCCTCTCTCCAGACGGCGTCCGGGAGAACAGCCCGGACGGGACCCGGTGCCCCGATGCCCAGTGAGGACTCCAGGGGCTGGCCGCTGTGATCGCCACCGTGACCGTGTCGGAGCAGGACTTACGTGGGTCAGACTTGGAAAACATGTCCTTGTCCAAAAGGTTCCTGAAAGAAGGGGAGAGAGGAGGAGTTAGCAGAGCCGGGGGGCGGGGGGAGCACTCGGGGATCAGAGCCGTTCCTGAGGCCCGAAGCTGCCTCTGCTCGTTTGGCTCATTGCAGCCCATGGAGGGAGGGCGGGCGGTGGGGGGGGGGGGGGGGGGGGGGAGGGGATCCTCAGCTCAGCCTCCTACGGATGTGGCTCCCCACCTTGCCCGCTTCGCACACGCTGTGCCCTGGGTCCCTCTGCCCCTCGCTCTCGGGGCACATCTCTCTGTGCCCATGTCTTAGCCAGTTCTAGAAGCTCCTCTTACCGCAGCTCTGTCTCTCAAAAAAAAATAAAAGCAGCTGTCAAAACCTATCCATCCGGGGTCCATTACCACCGTTCATCCCGCCGTCTCACCGTGCTGGCGGACTAAAGGACTCTGCCTCCGGGGACACAGGCCCGGCTGGGCGAGGCCACCGCTGGCACAGGCCCTGCTGATCAGGTTGGAGGCTGCAGCCGGAGGCCGGGCCGCGTTGGGGGGCCGAGAGGCCTTTGGCAGGTGTGAGCCTCCTGCCTGCCTCTGTGCACTCCCAGCTCCGCTCACGGGGCGCAGCCCAGGGAGATGGGCCGGGCACTGCGCTAAGTGCTGGGCAGGCAGCAGCTGCCCTCGCGGTCAGTCCTGGGCGGCAGCCTCCCATCTTACAGATGTGGAAGTGGAGGCGCAGGGGGTCAGGCAAGGCCTGTCCCGCACATCAGTGCAGGCGTTCACGGTGACCTGGGCCGGCAGGAAGCACGCGGGAAGGCCCTCCAGCCCTCGGAGCCGTTTCCTCATCGGTGCAAGGCGGACAGCAGCGCCAGCCTCCGGGGGCTGGATGCCCTGGCTCCTCATCAGCCCTGCCTGCACCGTTCCCACACATGGTTCCTCCTGCCGCTCCGGGGACTTTCTCTGGCTCAGGGGCCGCAGGTATCGGGACGTTTTCGCTCAGAGGGCAGCCCTCAACCAATGGCAGGCAGGAGCTGGGACATAAACAATGGCTTCCTCACTCCCCTCCCCACACCCGCCCCTGCGGCTGCTCCAGGCTCCCAGAGAGAAGGGCCCAGAGGGATGGAGACTGGGAACCTGCTCATTAAAGAGCCCCCTGGCCCCATCCCTGAGCCCCCTGTCTGTGGGAGCCACCCCCACCCCGGAGGACAAGTGACCTGCTTTTCACACTGCCCTAACCAGAGGCTCTGCCCCGTCCCCCTCCCTCCCAGATGCCCCGGGGTCACCTCTCCTTTCTCCTCTCCATTCCCACACTCCCCCTTCCCAAAGAGGAGAAACACTCAGCACGGGTCTGTGTGGCTTCCTAACAGCCAACCCCAAATGTCAGAGCAGATGGACCCTGGACCATGTGTCTCCCCTTCTCCTGAGGAGGGAGCAGGGCCCGGGGCAGGGCGGCCACTCCCCACAGCAGGCAGTGGGAGAGCCAGAAAGGCCCAGCTCTGACCCTGCGTCCACATCGCCAGAACCATCAGGAGGGACAGCCTGTCTGGGCAACCTGACCCCACACTCAATTCAATCGCCCTGACTTGGGAGCCAAAGGCCTACTGACAGACAGACAGACTGACAAGGAGCTGCAGTAGCAACCTGGCAAGAGCACATGGCATCCCCCGTGCCTGGTGGCCCCAGGTTGTGCTCATGAATCCCTCAGTTCCAGTCCTCACGGAGACTCTCAGAGATGTCTCTGAGAGAGACCCCCAAATCCCCACCCTCCGCCAGTCTCTTCCTTCGGGGCTCCCCGTGTGGCACACAGCCTCCCCCACACCTGCTCCAGCCAGCTTCACTCTGGAAACATCTGACAAGCTCCCAGCCCTCGGCAGTGAGTGTCGGAGGCACTATCGACCAGGAGTGGGAGGCCAGGCTGAGAAATGGGACCCAGCACCCAGCTTCGGGGCTTCCTGCGTGACTGAGGGCTCTCACTGTGCCTGGGCCCCCCAGCCACGGGCAATGCCCCCTCTGCCCCCACGGGGCTGAGGTCATCCTTCTAGACCCGCTCCTGCCTCCTGCTTGACGGAGCCTCTCTGGGCCTCCCCTGCTCATGACCAGCAGCCGTCCTCCCTGCCCGAGCTCTCCGCCTGGGGTGCAGCCTGTGCTTGGGACTCGGCACCCCCAGTGCACAGCAGGCTCAGCGCCTCTCAGGCTGGTGTGCGCTCCTCCAGGACAGCCACCTGCCTCTGCTCAGGCCGGCCTGGCCCCGACACAGAGCAGGGGCCTGGCCATGGGTGCAGGAAGGCAGGCCGAAGCCTGATGGGTGAGTGTGGCACTTGTCCCCTGACCGGCCAGGCGCCCGGTTACAGAGAAGCCCCAATGCTTCCTCTCAGCTAACGAGCCTCACGGTTACGTGCATGAGCTGCAGCCAGACAAGCTGGGTCCACCTCACAGATCCGGACAAGTTCCCTGCCTTCCTTGGGCCTCGGTTTCCCCATCTGTAAAGTGGGGCTAAAAGCAGTTCCTCCCTCAGGACAGCAGTGGGCAGTGAGGCTGGTCAGACGGGTCGGTCCTGTTGGGCCAGGTGCTGGCAGAGCAGCTGCACCCATACGGGTGCTCAGGCTCATTTGGGGGCCAAGGAGAGGCGGGGCGGCTGACAGAGCCACCTCTCCCGCCCTGGAGCCCACCTCTCCCGCCCCGTCACCCGGCCTCAGGCATCCCCTGGGCCTCCCTCTCTTGAGGACCCCCCAGCCTCTGTGACCCCTCGCCTCCTCCATGCCTGTCCCCCTGAGGGCCTCTCACTCCCTGGGCCTCCGCCCTCTCCCACTTATCAGAGGGCAGACTCCTGATGTCTGACTGTGTAGGTCTGGGCAGGGCCCAGAGGCCATGTGTAAATAAGACACACGCACACACCTGCACACACACACGCATACCCACATGCACACGTGTACGCACACTGTCCCGATGACCACACATCAGGACTCTTGGTCTTAGGGCCTCAGTTTCCCCACTGAAGCAGCATGCTCCTGTGAGGCACTGAAGGGCCTCACACGAGCCTCCCTGGTCCCCTGGGGCCTCTGAGGCTGGGGCGAGGAGCTTGCCCTCAGGCGGCAGCAGCAAGAAGCAGAGGGGGGGAGCCAGGCTTCCCACACCAAGCACGCTGAGAACCAGGGCGCCAAGCACGCTGAGCCACCGGGCACCAAGCACACTGAGCCATCAGGGCACCAAGCACGCCGAGCCACCAGGGCAGGCAGACCAGACCCGAGTGCCTCTCCTCACCTCCTGCCGTTGGGGAGCTCAGAGACATTTCCCAACAGGCAAATGGATTTCCCCAAAAGAGCATAAAACCCTTCAGCGGTCTGCTCGGCAGCCTGGAATCGTTTTTTTTTTTTTGTTCCTCAGATGGAGGCCAGGGAAGCAGAGCGGAGCCTGCCTCTGCTCCCCCCGGGAAGCCCTCCCAGGGCCCAGCAGCGAGGACTGGCTGCCTGTGAGGTCACAGCCCCCAAAAGGGAGCCCCCGGAGAGGCCGGAGCCAGGGAGGGAGCCTGCGGTGCCACTCTCCCTTCCGGGACATTAAAAATGTGGAGAGTATGAGCTGTCAGAGAGGGGAGGAGAGTCCCGCCCCCAGGGAGCCCCAGTCTGAGGGGGACACAGTCCTGTCCTCAGGGAGCCCCAGTCTGAGGGGGACACAGCCCTGTCCTCAGGGAGCCCCAGTCTGAGGGGGACACGGCCCTGTCCTCAGGGAGCCCCAGTCTGAGGGGGACACGGCCCTGTCCTCAGGGAGCCCCAGTCTGAGGGGACCCGGCCCTGTCCTCAGGGAACCCCAGTCTGAGGGGACCCGGCCCTGTCCTCAGGGAACCCCAGTCTGAGGGGACACAGCCCTGTCCTCAGGGAGCCCCAGTCTGAGGGGACACAGCCCTGTCCTCAGGGAGCCCCAGTCTGAGGGGACACAGCCCTGTCCTCAGGGAGCCCCAGTCTGAGGGGACACAGCCCTGTCCTCAGGGAGCCCCAGTCTGAGGGGACACAGCCCTGTCCTCAGGGAGCCCCAGTCTGAGGGGACACAGCCCTGTCCTCAGGGAGCCCCCGTCTGAGGGGACCCATTTGCTCCTGGGGAGAGCTGCTGGGTGAACCCATTGCACATCCCTGTCTGTGTCTGAGGCCCCGTGGGCAGATGCGCAGAGCGGGGGCGCTGGCTCCCGCAAGAAGAGGCTCAGGAGGGGCGCCACCTTTAGCTCTGCCTGCCACAGGGTGTGGGGACCCTGAAACTAGGAAAACGTGGCAGGTTGGCACAGTTGGATGGGTTCTTTTGGAGGGCTTTCACCGTGTTCCCAAAGAGGGTCGTCGGGTAGGAAAATGTGCTTATCTTCCCAACAGCCCTCCCCCCAAGCACCCGCCAACCGCCGAGGAGGAGAGTGGGGTGCTCAGAGCGGAGACTTGCAGCTTCCTGCTGGTCCCTAACACAGCGCTGCCCACTGGAGGCTGTACGGACTCCCTGGCTCCTTTGTGCCTCGGTCTCCCCACCTGTAAAGCGGGGGGAATAACAGCCTCTCCTGGGGGTTCCTGCGAAGAGCTCATATTTGCAATGAGCTCGGCAGTGCCCGCTCATAGGAAGGGCCCGCTCAGGGCCGTGGGGACCAAGTGGCACCGCGTGCTCCCCGCTCGGAATGCCGCTGGTACAGGTGCCCGTGCCCACAGGCCGGGCGCGCGGCCTTCCTGCTGGCCGAGCAGACGGGACAGGTGAGCCCGGAGGCCCACAGAGACCCCTGAGCCTGAGGGCCTGCAAGCAACACCCCGTTTCTCTGTGGAGCTGGTCAGCACCAGGCATCTGGCCAGCCCCCGCGGCAGGCAGAGGATGGCATAGGCATGGTCTAACCCACACCAAATCCTTTGTTGGGTACGTGATCTGGGACACCCTGTTCACCCTACACACCAGTGCCAGGAGGTGGCTGTCACCCCAGGCTACGGGCAAGACTTTTGGCACCGAGTCGTGCCCCGTTCATCCAGCTTGCCAGGCGGGCGGATGGAGCTCTGAAGCCCACACCATTTTATTGCCAAA